ATATTTTACATGTTTTCTCTTTCTTAGAGGATCTATAGATGCACGTTTATTAAAAAGGAGGCAGTGAAAAAAGTTATTTACAGAAAATATTACAGACATAAAAAAATAGATACTAAAATAAGGAAATTAAGAGTATCTAATGAAATTAAATTTACAAAAAAATTAGCTAGTTTAAATATTGATGTTCCATATATTTATTTTGTTGATGCTAAGGAAAAAAGTTTATATTTCGAGTATGTAAAAGGATGTACCATAAATTTTATATTAAAAAATATCAAAGAATATGAACCGAAAATATCTATTTGTGTAGGTATGGTGTTAGCAAAAATACATAATGGTAATATTATACATGGAGATTATACTACGTCAAATTTAATTTTAAGAAATTCTTTTATTCAACAAAATAATTTATTAGACTTAATGAATAATAATTCTCCATATAATTTTAGTGACTTGGAAACTATCAAATTGTGTGTAATAGATTTCGGATTATCCTTTTTATCATCCTCAATAGAAGTGAGGAAAAAATATACACAAACATTTAGACAAACATAAACATATATATATATATATATATATATTAATAAGTTATTATATTATTCATATTTTTATTATACAGGATAAAGCTGTCGATTTGTTTGTTCTCTTAAAGACCATTAAAAGTTTTCATAGTGAATTTCCCTCCCTGGTAATATTATAACCCATACAAATAATATGATATAATATATATTGATATGTTAATTGGTGGCATTATATGCATATAAATAAATGAATAACACAATAAATAAATAAAAATAAATATATATATATATATATATATATTATTATATATTATTTTAATTTTTTTTTTTTTTTTTTTTTTTTTTTTTTTTTTTGATTATATTTAATTAGGAGGAAGATATTCTTGAAGGATACAAAATGAAGTCTGACAACGCTAACGACATTTTTACGAAATTAGAAATAGGTATGTTCTTAATATTAACATATTAAATAAATAAATATATATATATTTATATATATGTACATTTATTTATTTATTTATTTTTTTTTTTTTTCATCTTTTTAGTTAAACAAAGGGGAAGAAAAAGACCTATGGTTGGATGATCCTTTATTTTTTAAAAGTATATATATAGTTTAAAGAAAACAGGAGTGTCTTTGTTTTTTTTTTTTAAATAATTAAATTTAATACATTAAGACATAGATACTTTAATAATAATATATATATTACACTTTTTATGTTTTTAAAACTTATACATCATACTATATATATATATATATATATATATATATATTTATTTATATATATATATTTATATATTTATTTATTTTTTTATTCATTTTAATTATTTATGATTAACTTCCTTTTGTTTTTAAAAAAAAAAAAAAAAAAAAAAATACAATGATATTTTAATTTTTTTTTTTTTCTTTTTTTTTTTTTTTATTAACACTTTGATATTATATAAATAATATTTATTTTTTTCGTTTATAAAGGAGCCCTTTATTCATTTGATCATTCTACAAATATTAGAAAAAAAAAAAAAAGTAAATAAACATATATATTTTTATATGTTTCCTTGATATGTTTTTAGATATATGATTAATAAGAATATGAGTGTTCTTACTAAAAAAGTGATGACATTTTTTTCTTTATGTTTGTGAAGGAAAAATTATACGTCGAAAAATATTCAAATGTGTGTTACATGAGTATATTATATATATATATATATAATAAATATATATATATAAATATTATATATATAAATAATATATTGGATGAAAACTTTTACGAAAAAAGAATAATAAATATTTCATATATATATATATATAGTAATCATTTTTTCTTTTTCAAATTCTTCAATATTATATTATATTAAATATATATATATATATATATATATATATATAATATAATATTGAACTAATAAGAAAAAGTGGTTAATATTTTACAAATATATAATATAATGTAATGTAATATATATATGAGATTATGTTATGTAATATTATATTATATTATATATATATATTTATAAATTTACGCATGCATAATAGATACTTTTTTTTTTTTTTTTTTTAATATATGGGAATTTCATTTCCTTATAAGATCTTTTATATAATATTTTAAAGGGATAAAAAAAAAACAAAATAAAAATAAATAAATAAATAAAGGAAAATATATAATATAATATAATATAATATAATATGTATATGATAAAAAATATCTTTAAAAAAAAAGGAATGTGTTTCCATATATATTTATATATATATATTATATATTTATTTATTTTTTATTATTTACGTACTCATATAAAAAAAATATAATATTTATAAAACGATGTTATTCTTAAAAAAAAAAAAAAAAAATATACCACCCCACCTAGTCATATTATAAAAATAAATAAATATATATGTATGTATATATATATATATATATATATATATATATATATATATATATATATATATAATTTAATTGTTTTTGTAGATTATATATATAATATATATATATTATTTAATATATATAATATATTATATATATTACATTTTATATATGGGAAGGTGTTTGAAAAAAAAAAAAAAAAAAAAAAGCCCCGCGGAAGGGGGCCATTGGATATATAATTTAGTATTCCCATAAATCATATAGTTAAATTTAATAATATTTATAGTAAATTTTTGCATGAATTGTTAAGAAAAAAAAAATAAACAAAAAAAAGTATTATATATAAATAATAACAATAAATATATATATCTATATATTATTATATATATATATATATATATATATTAATAATATATATTATTTATTAATATTTTTTTATATTAATATTTTTATATTAATAAATATTCTTTTTTCTTCATTTATTATTATTTATTGTAATATTTACAAAATATAATAAAATATTTCATGTTTAGCAAAAATTTTTAATAATAAAAATCATCATTTAAAAAAAAAAAATTAAAAAGTATATATATATATTTATAATATATATTATATAAAAATTAATTTAAAACAACGTGAGAAATTAACAAAAAAAAGTATATTTATAAATATAATATTTAAGATATATTATATTAATTATATTTATATAATATTTTTTTATAAGAAAAAAACAAAACGAAACTTATTTTTACTTTTTATAAACACATATTTTTTTTATATATATAAAAAATTCATATCATTTTTTTGAGCATATCTCTGTATTAATAAAATATATAAATATTAATATTAATATATATATATATATATATATATTATATTTATTTATTTATATATAACGGCGTAAAAATATTTTACTTTAAAAAATTTATCGTTTTCACTTTTCATTTTCTTTTTATATTTTCTTTTTCTTCTTTCTTTTTATTTCTTTCTTTTTTACTCTCTCTTTCTCTGTTTCTCTTTTTTTTTTTTTTTTTTTTTCACTTCTTCCCACTTTTAGAATTAAAATGTCAACGGAAACATTCGCATTTAATGCCGACATCAGGCAGTTGATGAGTTTGATTATCAACACGTTTTACAGTAACAAAGAAATTTTTTTAAGAGAATTGATTAGTAATGCTAGTGATGCCTTAGATAAAATAAGATATGAATCAATTACAGATACCCAAAAATTATCTGCTGAGCCTGAATTTTTTATTCGTATAATTCCTGATAAAACTAACAATACGTTAACTATAGAAGATTCAGGTATTGGTATGACAAAAAATGATTTAATAAATAACCTTGGTACTATTGCAAGATCTGGAACAAAGGCATTTATGGAAGCTATACAAGCCAGTGGAGATATTTCTATGATTGGACAATTTGGTGTTGGTTTTTATTCAGCCTATCTAGTTGCTGATCATGTTGTTGTTGTCTCTAAAAATAATGATGATGAACAGTATGTTTGGGAATCTGCTGCAGGTGGGTCCTTTACTGTTACTAAAGATGAAACCAATGAAAAACTTGGAAGAGGTACCAAAATTATTCTTCATTTAAAAGAAGATCAATTAGAATACCTTGAAGAAAAACGTATCAAGGATTTAGTTAAGAAACACTCTGAATTTATCTCTTTCCCAATTAAGTTATATTGTGAAAGACAAAATGAGAAAGAAATCACAGCCTCTGAAGATGAAGAAGAAACTCAAGAAAACAAAACTGTTGAAGACAAAAATGCAGATGAAACTAAAGAAGAAAATGAAGATGAAGAGAAAAAAGAAGATAACGAAGAAGATGATAACAAAACTGATCATCCAAAAGTTGAAGATGTTACTGAAGAATTAGAAAATGCTGAAAAGAAGAAAAAAGAAAAAAAAAAGAAAAAAATACACACTGTTGAACATGAATGGGAAGAATTAAATAAACAAAAACCATTATGGATGAGAAAACCAGAAGAAGTTACAAATGAAGAATATGCTAGCTTCTATAAATCTTTAACAAATGATTGGGAAGATCATTTAGCTGTTAAACATTTCTCAGTTGAAGGACAATTAGAATTCAAGGCTTTATTATTTATACCAAAAAGAGCACCTTTTGATATGTTCGAAAATAGAAAAAAAAGAAATAATATCAAATTATATGTAAGAAGAGTTTTTATTATGGATGACTGTGAAGAAATTATTCCTGAATGGTTAAATTTTGTTAAGGGTGTTGTCGATTCAGAAGATTTACCACTTAATATTTCAAGAGAATCATTACAACAAAATAAAATCCTTAAGGTTATCAAAAAAAATCTTGTCAAAAAATGTTTAGATATGTTCTCAGAATTAGCTGAAAATAAGGAAAACTACAAGAAGTTTTATGAACAATTTAGCAAAAACTTAAAGTTGGGTATCCACGAGGATAATGCAAATCGTACAAAGGTAAAAAGAAGGAAATAAAATAAAAATTAAATAAATATATAAATGTATATATATATATATATATATATATATATATTTATTTATTTATATTTATATGTATCATTTTTTCATTTGTTTCTATCCATATATACACACTATTCATTGTAAGCGCATGTGACTTTAAAACCAAATTTTAATTACATGTATAAAATATTTTATGTCCAATAAATAAAATATACATGTTCAGACGATTTGGGAAAATAACATGAAAATAATTAATTTATAAAATTATTTCAAATGTTATATTTGTTATAATTTGTACATTATAAATTAATATAATTTTCGTCGCTTATCACCTTAGCATGCATTTATTGTTTGTTCCTTTATGAATATATAATAAATATTTATGCAATTTGTGTTTTTGTACATTTGTTGTATATCTCTTTATTATTATTTATGAATGAATAAATAAGACGGCAATATTTATGACCATGATTATTAAATGCATTGAGTCATAAAAGCGGAACAAAAAATAAAAAAAAATAAAATAAATAATAATAATCAGAATGAATATGTATATGAGCGTGTATATATATATATATATATATATGTATGTATCGATTGATTGATTTACACATGTTATAATTAATTAATTTTTTTTTTTTTTTTTTTTTGTTTGTATCCTCTTTTTAGATTACCGAATTGCTCCGATTCCAAACCTCAAAATCAGGAGACGAAATGATCGGATTAAAAGAATACGTAGACAGAATGAAGGAAAACCAAAAAGACATTTACTATATCACCGGTGAATCGATCAATGCTGTTTCTAACTCTCCATTCTTAGAAGCTTTGACCAAAAAGGGATTCGAAGTTATTTATATGGTTGATCCTATTGATGAATATGCAGTACAACAATTAAAAGATTTTGATGGTAAGAAATTGAAATGTTGTACTAAAGAAGGTTTAGATATTGATGATTCAGAAGAAGCCAAAAAAGATTTCGAAACTTTGAAAGCTGAATATGAAGGATTATGTAAAGTTATTAAAGACGTATTACATGAGAAAGTTGAAAAAGTTGTTGTAGGACAAAGAATTACTGATTCTCCATGTGTATTAGTTACATCAGAATTTGGATGGTCCGCAAACATGGAAAGAATTATGAAAGCTCAAGCATTAAGAGATAATTCTATGACTAGCTATATGTTATCCAAAAAAATTATGGAAATCAATGCTCGTCACCCAATTATATCAGCTTTAAAGCAAAAAGCTGATGCAGATAAGTCTGATAAAACTGTTAAAGATTTAATCTGGTTATTATTTGATACCTCTTTATTAACATCTGGTTTTGCTCTTGAAGAACCAACAACCTTTTCTAAAAGAATACACAGAATGATTAAATTAGGTTTATCAATAGATGAAGAAGAAAACAATGATATGGATTTACCACCACTTGAAGAAACGGTAGATGCAACAGATTCTAAAATGGAAGAAGTTGACTAAAGGCTTTGTATAATATATTTATGTAGTTACAATAGGGTGTACAAAAAAAAAAAAGAAATATATATATATATATATATATATATATATATTATCTGTCATTTTACTATCACCCCTATATACATATATATATTTAAATATTTATATTTTTATATTTTTCTTTTATATATCCATAAAAGAAAATTAAATATAAATTTATACTCTTCATTTGAATTACTATTTGTATAAAATAAAAAAAAAAAATAAAATAAAAAAAAGAAGAAAAAAAGTAAAAAGTAATATTTAAATAATAAAGATCAAATATACATAATGAAAAAAAAAAAAAAAAATAAATAAAAAATAAAAAATATCACAAATAACAAATTAAACATTAATTGAAGTAATTTCATATACACATTTATATATATATATATATATATATATATATATATATATTTATATTTATTTATGCATATAAAATATATTACCAACTTATGTGTATTCATATATATTTTTACATTTGTATTGAAAGACTTTACTGAGACATGAAATATCTTATAACCAAACGTTTATAAATTATAATTATATATGACAAAATATAAATTTTGTCTAATTTAATTCCTTAATACATATGTATTAAAAATATAATAAGATGGGGAAATTATAAGTTTTTTTTTTTTTTAAGTTTTTTCTTTAACAAAGTAAAAGAAAAAAAAAAAATAATATAAAATAAAATAATTATAAGTATATATAATTCCTTCCAAATACAAATGATTAAATTTAAAAATTAATAAATAAATTAAAAAAAAATTTAATAATAGTATTATTTTTTGTGTACTTAATTCACCAAATAAGGTTGCATTATGTAAGCACAAATAAATAAATATATATATATATATATATATATTTTTATTTATATATTTATTTATATTTTAATATATCTGTTTTTTTTTTTTTTTTTGCAACCCCTGTTATTCATTTTTCTCATTTGATAATATACTTTCATTTTGTTTCCTTAATATTTCTTTTAAGTCATTAATTAAAGCATTTTCTCTATTAGCTCTCTCTTCATAATTATACATAGCTAATGCTCTTTGTTCTTCTGCACTATACACTTGGTTTTCTTTTCTCATACGAATAGCATTCATTCTTTTATGCCTTGATCCACTCATAACGTAACCAAGGCTTTCAAAATTTTCGATAGCTTCAGCAGATAAACCAACTTCTCCTCTTCTTGGTATCCTCTTACCTTTCTGAACAAACTGAGCTATTGCTTGTCCTTCTCCAGGCATCATGGCAACACCATAATCTATTTGTTTTGTAGCTAGCTTTACATTTACATCCAATGGTTTAGGACCTATACTTTCATTATCTGATGAATTATCTGATTCGATATTATTCACTTCATCATTCTGTTTATATGTATAATTCTTATCATCAATATTATTTTCTGTATATTCTTCTTCATCTATTTTTTCTTTTCTTATAATTTTTTCCTTTTTCTTTTTTTTCTTCTTCTCTTTATTTTTATTTGAATTTTTTTTACTATTTTGACTGATATCACTTAAATGGTTATTATTTTCCTTCATTAAATTTTTATTATTATTAACCTCTTCTTCGTCTTCACCTTCGTCTTCTCTTACTTTTTTTAATTTATGGTTACTTATCAAATTCTTATTATTATCTAATGAATCATATCCTTCGCAAAGAAAGGATAAGGATGTTGCTGAAGTAGAGGAACCTTCTTCATTTGACGATTCGTCAGATTCTTTTTTTGTTTTATCTCTATTGTAAGTATCTGAAGATGATTCTTCCGAATGATGTTTATTTTTTTTGTCTTTTTCTTTATTTTTCTTTTCCTTTTTTTTATGCTTTTTTCTATCTTTTGATTTATGCTCTTTTTTCTTTTTTCTATATGATTTATCTTTGGATTTATCTTTGGATTTATGTTTTTCATTATGTTTGTGTTTATGTCTATGTTTATGTCTATGTTTATGTTTATTTTTATGTTTATTTTTATGTTTTTTTTTTTTTTTTTCTTCATGCTTTTTTTTTTTATCTATATCTTTTTTGACTTTTTCAACACTGCGACTTGAACTTTTATTAGAATTTTTTTCATCAGATGTACACGACAGGAAAATGGATGCAGAATCATCTGATGATGATCGGTGATTTTTTTGTTTTCCATTTTTTTTTTTTTTTTCTCTATGTTTTGTTTCTTCTCCTGATTTTACTTCTTTTACTACTTTTTCATCCTCTTCTGAAAGGCTAACAAAATTTTCCCAAGTGGTTGGAGAGAGAGAACTAGACTTTCTAAATATTTTATTTTCATCAAAAGGTAAATTAAATCTATAATCATTTTTTTTTTGTAACCAGTTTGTGTAATTATTCCATGATTCTTTTGTAGTATGATATCCTAAAGGTATTCTATGATATTTTTTATCGATTCTTTCTTTTGTTATATTGTTATATAAATATTTTGAATATTTATCTTTTCCTTTTTCATTATAATGATGTATATGATCTCCGTGTTTTTTTATCTGTTTATTATTTAAATCGTCATCATGATAATATTTGAACTTACGACGATCATTATTATTATTATTGTTATTATTATATTTAGATTGTATATTGTTATCATATTTATATGATTTTTTTAATTTACTTCTTTTATATGATGAATTATCATTATATGAATCATACGACCGACTTTTCTTATGATTCTTATAATTACTATTATAACTATTACTATTACGAATACTATTATTATTACTATGACGAATACTATTATTATTACATTCATCATCTTTACTAATAATATTATTTATCTTTTTTTTTTTTCTTTTTTTTTCTTCTATCTCATTCAAACTACAACTGGATGAATAACTATACGATCTTCTTCTTTTGTTATAATTATTTTTCCTTTTATCCTTATGGTAATCCATATAACTATTATTACTAGATGAATGCTTTCCTTTTTTTTTGTAATGACTATATTCTCTTTTATTATAAAGACTATTATTGTTACTATCAACACTTTTACTTGGATAATATTTTTTATCATAATATTTTATACTATCATTTTTTGAATAGCTATGACTTGTACTTTTTTTTTTATTATTTTGTTTTTTTGAATAATGTTTATTAATATCCTCATTTGTCGATTTACATATCAAATTATTTTTATTTTTTAAATATTTATTATCATGTCCTTCATCATTTTCAGACTCATCTTTATCATAAATTTTATGTTCTCTTTTATATTTTTCTAATCGTCTTCTAATTTCTTCTCTAGTTTTTTCTTTATCCTTCATCTTATCTAGTTGGACAATTTCATTTTTATTCATACTGTCATTTTGTTTAGAAACATTACTTTTCCACATTTTTAATTTCTCTTTAAGTTCCTGGTGTTTTTTGTCTACATCTTTTACTTCTTTATCTTCTATATTTTCTTCCGTTTTGGCACTTTTATGGCTAGCTGTTAATGATTCTTTTTTTTCTTCTGAAATATATTCATCTTTTTTCGAAGAATATGATTCCTCTTCTTTTATATTCGACACATCACTAATCATTGAAATTAATAAAAACTTTATACATGAAATTATATATTTTACTTTTTCTCAAAATTAAATAAATATACATATATAACTAAAAATGAAATATTATTATATATATAAATAAATATATATATATATATTTATGTATATTTATGTATATTTATGTATATTTATTTATATTCACTTTATCCTTTTTTTTTTTTTTTTTATTGGTATTTTATAATATATTATAATATTATATTATAAAAATATACATTTATTAATATTATAATAATTATCATTTTTTATATTTTACATAACAATTTTAATATATATTTTAAACCATGTATTTTTTATAAAATAACAGAATAACAAATAAAAAAAAAAAAAAAAAAAAAAAAAAAAAAAAAAAAAATTATAAAACAAAAATTTTCACTTAATAAGATAAATACATCTTTTAAAACGTTAGAAAATTTTTTATTAATCTTTTCTCTTTTTTGTAATTTATAATATATATTT